TAGTTAACAATTTAGCTGTGTCTTCAAAGAAATTAATGGAAATACAGGCAGCAACCAAAACTGATAGAGTTTTACAGTCAATAATAAGATATTATAATGAAGGTTGGCCAAGTTCGAAAAATAAATTGGAAACAGAGGTTAAACCGTATTACAATTTCAATCATGAAATACATGTTGTGGATGGATTAGTCTTTAGAGGAAATCAAATAATAATTCCTGAGTCATTGCGTCAAGTTATATTAGAAATAATTCATGAAGGTCATTTAGGATATGAAAATGTATTCGACAAGCACGTACGGTAGTTTTTTGGCCAGGCATGTCAGTAGATATAAAGAATAAAGTTGAACAGTGTCCAGCATGTCTTAAATATCATAGATCAAATAGTCCAGAACAACTATTACCACATGAAATACCAACTTTGCCTTGGCAGAAAATTGGTGTTGATCTTTTTTATTATAGTAAAGTCACATATATATTATTAGTAGATTATTATTCTAAATACTTTGAAATAGCGCCTTTAAATAATACTTCAGCAAAAGAGGTAATTAGTACAATGAAGTCTATATTTGCGAGACATGGAATACCATTGATCTTAATGTCTGATAATGGTCCCCCATTCTCATCAAAAGAGTTTCAGTCATTTTTAGTAGATTGGGACATTACTTATCAAAGTTCTAGTCCTTATTATCCAAAAAGTAATGGTTTGGTAGAGAGGACAGTTCAAACTGTAAAAAATATTTTTAATAAGTGTATAGAGTCAGGCTCTGATCCATATCAGGGAATGTTGCAATACAGAAATACAACGTTAGAATGTGGTTATTCTCCAGCTCAGTTATTAATGTCACGTAATTTAAGAATGAAATTACCTGTTAGTGAAAAAAATACTCATACCAAAAACAATTGATAGGAACGAATATAGCAAATTTGTTAAGGAAAAAGAAAGGAAAGTAAAAGAATATCATGATAGGTCAGCTAGAAACTTACCGAATCTGTTTGTTGGAGAAAATGTATTTTATAAAAAGGTTCCATCATCACCGTGGTTACCAGCTACTGTGATAGAAATAGGTCCTTTTCCAAGATCATATGTCATCAGAACACCTGAAGGTGTACATTATCGTAGGAACAGACAACACATATTAAAGCCTGCCAGTACAATTAGTAGACAAAATAGTGAGGTGATAGTTAAGCATGAAAATAGTACAGCAGCTAGTTCCAATTTGTATGAGGCTCCAAATATGAACAACGATACATCAATTTCAAATCAAAGTTATGACAATTTAAATGTTAACTTAAATAGGTCACGTAGACTAAATGTAAGTAATCAATTTTGTACCAGGAGTGGTCGAATTGTAAATAGACCAAAAAGGTTTTCATTTTCAGAAGAGTAATGCGGCAGTGTAGTGTTGCGGGTAGATTTAGGTTGTTAGGATAGTTTAGTTTTTTTGTTAAAAAAAAAGGGGCATGTTATGTTATGTGAACCTACCTTATTATTTGTAAACCTACCTTAACATGGGTGACAGGTGAAGGACATTGACAGCAGACAACAGTGGAAGAAGATGGCTCGTTAGATATAATCATGTATTAAGTTTAGTTGGTCTTTAATAAAAGATATTAAAAAGAAACTGGTCGTCAATCTTATTAAAAGCCCACAGAGACAACGTAACACATGTGATGTATACAAAGAATAAATAATCTTATCCATATGATTCAAATTTCAAAGGTATTTTTATCTTCACAATAAAACAATGTTATAGACATGTGTATAAATTTTGATGGAATCCCACTAAAACAGAGTTTTAGTGGTCAGTTTTATCCTAGTTTTGCAATTTGTTTCTTCTTCTCCTTCTTCAGCCTTCATTTATCCATTGTTGGACATAGGCCTCCTCCAATTGCTTCCACGCTTCCCTATCTTTTGCAATTCTCATCCACTGCTTTCCAGCTACAGCAGTTATATCGTCTATCCATCTCTTTTTAGGTCTTCCCACGCTTCTTTTTGTTTTTCGAGGTCTCCAGAATGTCACTTTATGAGACCATCTGGTGGTGTCTTGTCTTACTACATGTGCTACCCATTGCCATCTCAATGTCGCCATTTTTCCCATGATGTCGGTTACTTTAGTTCTTCGACATATTTCGGAATTTTGTCTCTGAGGCTTATATTTAATATGGTCCTCTCCATGGCCCGGTGAGTTACTCTTAATTGTTCTGCCATTTTTCTTGTTATTTCCATAGTTTCCAATCCAAAAGTTGCAACTGGTAGTATACAAGTGTCATAGGTTTTTCGTTTTAAGTGAATTGGGCATTCAAACCAATTAAGCAATTTGTTTATATAGGTATCCTAAAATTGTAGATTTAATAGGCATTTACCATGGTTATGCGAAACCAAAATTTGCAAATAAATGTTTTGATTGATTTTGTAACAGAGGCTGTGTTTTTATTAGATAGTTTAAGTTACTGTTACTTTTAAGGAAGTCCGTCAAGTAAGTCCTCCGAACGTATTATGGAGGTCCGATTAAGGTCCAATTAACATCCCAGTACGTCCGCTCGGGACGTAAAATGGACGTCCATAGGATGTTCGGCGCAGCGACATTCGGACAAATATATGACGTTAAACGGACGTAAATAGAACCATAGCGGACGTTCGAGGGACGTCCTTAAAGCTTGTGAGGGACGTACTATGGACGTCCACTGGACGTACGTGTGCTATTAGGGAAACAAGTGAATTTTGCGCAATCGATATTTCTAAGCTACAACTTATAATTATAACAGTTTATAGGTCGGGTAAAAGTGATATAAACATGTTACCCAAAATTTTAAGCCCAGGAAAAAAGTCCAGTTGTATCGTCTTCTCCACACTTCATTGTCATTCACTGCTCCATAGATTCGCCTTACTACTTTTTTTTCGAAACAATATAACATGTTTTCATTATTTTTTTAGAGTCTAAGTCTCTGAACCATATGTTAGGACTGGGCATATTATTGTTTTATTTTTGTATTTCTCGATATAATTGTGGATTTAAGGACGAGATTAAGCCCAAAATAGTATTTGCTGGCCGTGCAAATTCTACTGTAGTATTATTTTTAGTATTAAGGAGCGCTCCCAGATATAAAAATTCGTTCACTGCTTCGATGACGTCGTTTTCTATAACAAGTGGTCGTAGGATTTAGGATTGCGTGCTTATTTTCATAAACTAAATTTTATTGGTGTTTATTATTAAACCATTTTTGTATCTGATTCTTTTAATGCTACATACGCCTCTCGTATAGCGTTTTTCGTTCTCCCAACAATATTGATATTGTTACGATTTTAAATGTTATGGGGTATAGAACTGTAAATATTTTATGACTAATTCTTTTGTATTGATTCTCGTAATTTCTAGGTCAAAAATCTACCTGACATCATTTGGGTCCCCTTCGCTAAACAAACAACAATCGAATTTTCTGGGGACGACGAGCCGATAAAGAACATACCAGTTTTGAGACCGGTTGCCGCTATGTCTACATCGAGAACAGCATAGTATTTTCTACGAAATTCTGTTTATCGGCTGGATCCATATAAATAACGGAAGACTTTCATTGAGGAGTTAGTCATAAGAAGATCGGGAAACACGATTTACTTGTAACGAAACGTAACAAATAAATTTGTACAGCTATTTAATAAATTAGTAATTAGTTATCGTGAGTTTTAATAAATTGGAATATAGACAATAAATTAGAATAAAGACAAATAAATTAGAACTATATAAATATAAAACAATATCATCAGCATAGTCAAGGATTTGCACTGATTTATTATATATTGAACCAGTGGTTATGATTTCTGACATACGTATTACTTTATCCGGAGACAGATTGAACAGGATACAGCGTCTCCCTAAAGCAGTCCGTTATTTCTTTTAAAAGGTTCAGATAGTTCCTCCGGAATTCGTAATCTACATTTAACTTTTTCAAGAGTTTTGTTAAATTTACCAACTGATTTAACATTTCTAGCTCCTTCATTGCTTTAAACATTTCTCTTTTATTCACAGAGTCGTAGGCTGCTTTGTAGTGTCTAAATATGTGATGATTATCAATGCCGTACGCCGTTTGTTTCAGGGTTGCAATCTAATAAATTTTCGATTTACCACCTCTGAAACCAGCCTGGTATTTTCCTACTATCCGTTCTGCATATAGTGCCATACAGTGACATATTACTGTGGAAAAACGCTGCATCTAAAAGAGTAATTCCTTAGTGGTTAGAGCATGGGTCCGAGCATTTAAAGATATCTCCTTTTTTGTATATAGTACAAAGTATTCCAATATTTCAATCATTGGGAAGGGATTTATGTATCCGTATTTCTTTTATAAACTACTGTAATTCTATTATTGTATCATGGCCACCTTCTTTATATAGTTCAGCTGGGACATTATCTATTCCGGCTGATTTTTTTCTAGCTAGTTTTTTATTTGCATATTTAACTTCAAGAATCGTTGGTGGTTCCTCTTCCCTCTCGTCTGTTCCTCATCTCTTTCATCTTCCTCTATATTAAGTGCCTTGTTAAAGTATTCCACCCATCTATTCAATACATCTTTCATTTTTGTTAATAGGTCGCTATTCGACTTATGCATTGTCTTATGGTTGCCTTGAATTCTTTTCTGTTGATGTTAACTGTCTTATAGAATCCCCTGAATTCTTTCTATCTGTTGAGGTTTTCTATATATATTTAAGTTTCTTATTTATGTGGTTTCGTTTTTTTCTTTTGTGTATCCTCTTTTCTTCTCTTTATCTGGTAATTCTCTACAGTTGTTCTAGATCGTTGGGTAAGCAAAAGTGGAAGTAGTATCTCAAAATTGCACAAAAATATCTCTGATGTAAACAGACAGTCTAACCAAGATGTATGTCATGCAAGACGGTCGTGCGTGGTCTAGATGTAAAACCATCTTTAGAAGTGAGTCTGACAACTCGATAAATCACCGAGGCGAATCTTTTGTGAATATACAGTAGAAATAAAACTATTTATATTAAAATATATATCATTTATTTATCAAAAAATCGACAGTTACAAATATTAAACATATAATTGACCAGGAAATCACAAATAAATACCAAAAGCGGTGTTTAAAGGGACTGGAGAACTTATTAGAGCGAAACCCGAAGTCTTTGACACATTGTCTTCTTGCGTAAACCACAAGGATCGTAGGAATAACGTATTGTACTATTACCCCCGCATACGTCCCTGTAATCTCGACTAAATATTTTATATTGTGCGTACAAAGAGCAACTATAACTGGCGGAGCAATCGCTATCGTAGGAAATATTAGGCGGTCTAGTACGACAGTAGCTCGTGGCCTATTTCTATTTAGTATTAAGTTCTTTAAATTTCCCTGTAGAGTTATAGCTATGATCGGAAAACTTGTGGACATTGGAAAGAGAGGGAAAATAACCAAGAAGAATCCTATAATTTTTCTAAAAAGATCTGAGTCATTACTGTAAATAAAGTTTAAAGAATAGAGATCGTTTAGGGTTGCAAAAGCAAAAGCGCCCGTTAGAGCTAACAATAAGTAAAATGAACATATTGCTACGAAATCGCAGCTAACCTTCTTAAATATTTTGTCTTTATTCTGAATAGGAACCAATAAGCTGGGCAACGAGTGGTGACACATGAAGCTGTACACCGTACTGCCAGCCAAAGCAGGTACTTCTTTCAAGTTCACTAGAGCAGGATGCCCCTGAGGCCCCAGTTTAAACAATCTTATACTCGCTAAGGTAACCATAATAAAAAACGCCAACCATCTTATACAAATGGTAAACAGTTGTAAATATTTTGTTTTCTGGACGTTGAAATAGGCAAAAGGGCCTACCAACAGGGCAAAAGTGGTAACAAACATTCTGTACATATCTATTTTAGTCAAATACGAATTACTTAAACACTGCGTATCGTAATCTTCCGTTTCATTCCCGTTGTTACAGATCAAATTGACTAAAGTCTTGCCTGACGCGGCAGTATATATAGCCAGATCTCCGTAAAGATATACACATAAGGAAGAGAAAAATAAGGTGTGGTGGAATTTGTTTAAGTAAAGAGAAGCTATTTCTCCTAATTCTACTTTGGTATCAATTTTGTATAACGACAATCTTCGAGGTACTTTATTTAAAATGGCAGTCTCTTCGTTACTGTTACTGTGCTCTGGCTCTTCAGCTTCTGATTCTTCTTGTGTACAATCCCTCTCCTGAAACAGACACACATATATTTATCATATTATCTTACTTTTTTAATTTGTTAGAATACAAAGCACCAATCAACAATATCGGCAAAACATTAATGCGAGTATTCTAAGAGTTACAAAAGATAATCATTGGTGACATGAATGCGAAAGTCGGAAACGCGGAAATACATATAGAAGAATTATAGGGGGGCGAAGTTTACATAAAGAGTCAAACGAAAACGGGAAAGAGTTAATAAAATCTGCTACAGAGAATAAAATGAAGATAGCTAGCACAAGGTTTGATCACAAAGACATTCATAAGGTAACATGGACTTCTCCCGATGGAGAAATAAAAAATCAGATAGACCATGTCCTAATTGAAAGCAAACATGATAAGGTAATAATTGAATGCAAGAGTTGCAGAGGGGCAGATACCAACAGTGACCATACACTAATAATCTTCTTCTAGTTCCATGACCGTTATCGATCATTGGATATCATGTTGGCTACCATATTCGGAAAACAAGAACTACCAATAATACCAAAACCTGTTAGAGATTGACTAAATTAATAATTAGATCGCCTTCAAGAGAAGTGTAAACAGACTAAAGGAAGAAATACATAAAAAAAAACTAGAGAATTCAGTCAAACAGGATATTGATGAAAAACGGCAGACCATATAGACAGCAGACAGCCAGGTCAATCATCGCTATGGTGTTGCTATCTTAGCTGCAAAAAAGGTCAATTACTCTGTAAGAAGTTTTACTCCTTATTCTGATAGGATCTTATCAATACAAATTCAGTCTAAAAAAGGTATAGTAAATTTTATTCAAATTTATGCTCCTACGGCAGATAAAGATGACCACGATATCGAACTATTTTATCATGATTTTGAACAAGTCTTAAAATCGATGAAGAAACATCACACTACAATAGTAATGAGCGACTTCAATGCCAAAGTTGGCCAGGGAAGAGTGGATGGATATGTGGGGAATATGTTCTAGGAAATAGAAATGAACGTGGTGACCGTTGATACAATTTTGCCAGACGGAAGAATTTGTAATAGCTAATACACTTTTTTTTAGCTCTAAAATTTTCCATATTGCATCATGAGACACACAATGGGATCAACAGTGACGAATTTGACGTACTTACTGGAGTCAGACAGGGATACGTGCTTTCTCCGTTTCTTTTTAACATAGCTCTAGACTATGTTCTCTCCAAACTAGACTCTGACACAAGAGGGATACAATGGACGCTAACCACACGCCTAAGCGATCTAGAATACGCCGACGATATCTGCCTGTTAGGACAAAGGTTCCAAGATGTGGCTGACCAATTGGAAACACTTTCCACTGAAGCCAATAAAATAGGTTTGAAAATCAATATTGGTAAAACCAAATCCATGAGAATAAATGCAAGAAACAACACGCTATTCACCATTAATAACATGCAGATTGAAAATGTGGAAAACTTTACGTATCTTGGAAGTGTCATAACAGAAAGCGGAGGTACAGAAGACGATATTCGTATGAGGATACGAAAAGCGCAACAAGCTTTCAGCATGCTCAACCCTGTTTGGAGGTCTGGAGAATACACTACGAGGACAAAGATCCGCATATTCCAGTCAAATGTCATGTCTGTACTACTTTACGGATGTGAAACCTGGAAAGCGACAAAAACCCTTACAGACAAACTGCAGGTCTTTGTTAATAAATGTCTACGAAGAATTGTTCGTATTTTCTGGCCTAACATCATCAGAAACGAAGACTTACTACACCTGACCAAACAAAAGAGGGTAGTAAATGAAATAAAGTCCAGAAAGTGGGGTTGGATCGGTCACACACTCCGAAAAAATAACTCCAGTATTGCAAAGACTGCCCTAGATTGGAATCCCCAAGGAAAACGAAAAAAAGGTCGCCCAGTACAAACTTGGAGAAGATCCATCATGGACGAGATAAGAAAACAAGGAAAGTCTTGGAATGAGGTGAAGGCCTTAGCGCAAAATAGAACCCGATGGCGCGTTTTCACTGAAGCTCTATGCTCCACTTAGGAGTTCAAGAACCTTATATATATATATAATACACTTTTTAAGCTACCAAAAAGAAGATTGTATACATGGAAATTTCCCGGTGATACAACGAATAGAATAATCCGAAATCAAATTGACTGTCCTCATTAAACAAAGATTTCGTAATTCTATACTGTTTGGCCAAACTTATCGTGGAGCAGACATCGGTTCAGACCATAACCCCATAGTAGTCACATTACGAACCAAATTGAAACTGGTTAAAAAACCCACACAAAGTAGAATTGATATTAAGAGATTAAGGAATTGAAGGATTAAGACAAACAAAGGAACAAACTGTAAAAACTCTTTACTGAAAATCTATGTAATGCCCAAGAACTGAATAAAAGAAGCTATAACATTGATCAGAAGTGCGAAAATATAAAAGTAGCAATAATTAAAACAGCAAAGGAAAACTAAAAAACCGAAGAAAAGAAAACGTAAAGACTGGATGACTGAAGAAATACTACTATTAATGAATGAAAGAAAATCATTCACAACAAAAAATCCAATTCAGGCGCGTAACCAACAAAATTATAATTGCCAGAATGATAGAAGCGGAACTTGAAGAAGAAGAAGAAGCCATGTCGGATGCAGCGAAAAAGTGTGTAGGAAGAGAGCATATAAAAATACGACAAGACTGGTTCGATGAAGAATGTATGAATGTTTTGGCAAGAAGAAACAGGGCAAAGCTACAAAGAGATAGAAAATACCCAAAATGCGATCGAAAACTATGTGACAAGAAGGGAAGTGAAAAGAATTTGCAGCAAAAAGAAAATAGAACAGCTAAAAAAGCAATTAAAAAACGTAGAAGCCTACATAAACAAAAAGGTAAAGAATTTCAACAAAGAAGTTAAGAAATCCAGAGAAACCACAAAGAATAATCCACAATATTGCAGAAACAAAGAAGGCTTACTTCTAGGTGAAACAATAGAAAAATTAAACAGATGAATATTTCAGAATATTTCAACTTGAGGGAAATGAGAATTGGCAAGAAGATAAAGAAGGGACGTGCGAGGAACCAACTTTGAATGAAGTCAAAGAAATAATAAGAGACCTAAAAAATAACAAAAGTGCAGGAGAAAGTGGTATCTCATCTGAGATTTTTAAGGAAGGTGGCAAGTTAGTTTACGACTGGATATATGGATTTCTGAAGAGGATGAAGACCTTATCACTACGCTTTCCGGAAGCAACCAGTTTTTTCTACAGCAGCTAACTTCAACAGAAACAATGCATCAAAATTTTTCGGAAATTTAAAGACAGTTCTTGAAAACAATGGAATTGGACCAGAAGTAATTTGAAGCGTGGACGAAACTAGACTTTCAACTGTCCATAAGCCAAAGCAGATCATTGCATGCAAAGGTGAAAAACAGGTTGGTAAAATTACGTCATGGGAACGTGAAGCAACAGTAACACTTTGTTTTACAAATACCACTGGCGTAGTTTACGAAAGTGAATGGATGACCACTTTTATTTCATCAAATTTTTGGAACATTTTCAAAAACATAAAGGCGACTACCCATAATAAATGTTTAATCATAATGGACAATCATGACAGCCGTGTTAGAATAAAATTTATAATTTATGCCACAGAACACGGAATAATTCTTCTTGCCATACCACCACACACGTCACATAAGTTCCAGGCGTTAGACAGAAGTATATTTTGATGTAAGGTTGAATGCTTGAATAAATGAACTTTGATAATATACAAGGCAAATATCGAGCACAGTATTAATTTAATCTTGCCCAAGTACTTTCGATCTCTAAATCATCTTCAGGGGCATTTGGATAGGCCGCAATTGACGAAATGCCCCTGAAGATGATATAGTGATCGAAAGTACTTGGGCAAGATTAAATTAATACTGTGCTCGATATTTGCCTTTTATATTATCAAAGAAGTATAATTGGCCCTCTCAAGAGTTTTTATAATACTGACTGTGATGATTGGATGGTGACCCACCCAGGAAGGATAATTACAATATACGAAGTCGGAGGATGCTTAGCTTATGCTTTCCCCCTAGCTTTTACTCTACATAATATTGACAGTGGATTCAGAGTTATGGATATAAGATCCGGCAAGCAAATCACTTTATCTCAGTTTGATGTTGCACAGAAGCCATAGATAACAATAACCAACCCTCCACTTCTACTGGCACTTTTACCACCTCGGAAATAATTAGACCACATTCCTCAACTGGACCAATTTCACATAATCAACAACTACAACTAACATTAATAGAGGACAAAAATCAGCCTTTTCTACCTCTACTGGCACTTTCACCACACCTCAAATAATTAGATCACATCCTGTAAATGGATATACTTCACAAAATAAACAGCTATAACAAACATCAATAGAGCACAATCACTTCTGCCACTTTTACTAGCCCAGAAATGATCAGACCTCATCCTAAAACTGGGCCCAGGACTTCAACAAAGGGTAGAAACCGAGCAAGTATGAAAACTCACAGCTACCCCAGAAAACTTGTGCTTGAAGCTGAAGTTAGGGCTAAAGAAGAGAAAAAATTAGAAAAAGAGCAAAGGCCAAATTAAGAACACTAAAAAATAATTAAACAAAAACTTAAGGGTTGAGGGAATCTTCAAGTTCGGTGGCTAGTGACATTATACTACCATCGTCAGGGACTGAATATGAATTGTAGAGACAGATACTGAATGTGTATCGGAAGCAGAAAGGTGACGAATTTTAATTGACTGTGCAAGATTGGGTAATTGAAAGCTTTGTCTAAGAAAAAAACTTAGTCATTAGTTACATAGGACAGATGACAGCAAAAAATTATGAGGATTTTAAAATCATATTTGCCAAAAATTGGATGACAAAACATTTAAGTGGCCAGAAAAGAAGACATGGGTGAAGTCACATGTGACCAAATTTTCAAAAGTTATCAAGCGTGATTTTTAAGAGCTACGGTAAGCACATAGGATGTTTTGTCTTTCCCAAATCACAGAGGATGTTCAATATTCGACAATAATTTTTTTTCACATTTTTTTCATATAATTTTCTGCAGAAAGTGTTTATATTTTTTAGTTAAAAAGAAAAATTTATCTGAAAAAATGTAACTGATAGATCTCCCTCTTCTCCCCTACTACTCTGGCTATGAGCGATTCAAATAATCAATAAAAACAATGAATGGATAAGCATACTTACAAAGGATTCATTGGACTGCAGTGTCCTCCACTGAATTGTTGCATTGGCACATGCCATACTTTCGATGACAAAAGTAACAGTCACAAAACTGACAAATGCCAAAAAAACAATCATGATCGTGCTGAAGAGCCATCCTGCCCCTGCAAAGGCAGCTGGTAATGTTAGCGCACCTGTTCCAACAATAAGGTTAAAAATATAAACCAACCCCACCTAAAAAGAATAATTAACAGATTAATATTAACTAACAAATGCAAACCCAACAAAAAATAACACGAGCCGCCGCTGATTTTTGTTATTTATTTACAGTGAACTTTATCAAAAAACCATTTTATTTGTTACAGATTTTATAACACACGTTAATCTTCCATTTTATAAATAAAACATATGTTTTTAAAATTGTTATAATTTGTATATTTAATATTTGTTAACACACTTGTAAAGTTTACTTTATCTTTTTAAATGTTTACTAACTCAATGTTTAAAAATAATATTTTTAAATAACTGATTCTTACAGCAGTATAAAAAATACGTAAATAGTAGACATGTTCACTCTTAAAATTTTAACAAACATATTAATGTACTGTTGTAATAACTTTGTTTTTCTTTTGTTGCACTTTTGTAACCATATTGCACAAAACAAAAGAACTCATTTATTGTTAATTACAATAACAATTCTTACAATTAACTTATTAGTATGTACTAAAACAGTAACTTACCCAAGACGGATATCGGTCAGCTGTTGGCATTTTTATTATTGTAAATTATATATTCGTATTATCATTTTGAATTAATAAATTTAAATATTATTGTCTGAATAAAGGACACAGCTCCACACCACAGCTGACATCATAAACAATAGGTTGGGTAATTTAAGAAGGGGAGTGGCTAATAATCCCACCATGAATAATCTCAATTCGGCATTTCTATTTATCTAATCGTTAATCGATGTATCTACGAATTTCGATATGATATTCGATAAAACAAGCTATAGCTATAGCTCTTTCACCAATTCCATTTGTACGTGGCCGTTCACAATATAAAAAATAATAAAGACGGCTATGATTTGTATAATTAACATAGATAAATAATATAATATTAGAAACTATAATTAACCATTAGAACTAAGCTAATTTAAGATAATTAACGACTAAATTTTTGATAAATGAAAACGTTGAAATGGAAAGTACAAGCAAAATAATATAGACGCATATGCGTCTATATTCTTTCAGCAAGCTTTTCGCTCAGAAAACGACAGCTTTTATGAGCTCAATGTTTTAATAAAAAGCGTACTAAAAAAAAATATGTATACATAAGCAGAGACACCATTTTTTTTTTCAATACAAAAGAATGTGTATATCTAATCTACTCTGAAAAAATATTTAAATAATTTACAATGAACTCAGGATTTATGTAGGCATGGTTCCAGTAAACCTGTAAAACAAAATCATACTGTAAAATTTTTGGATTGTCTTATCTTAGTCACATTTATCATATATGATCATTTAAAGATCTTTTAAAAGACAGTATTTTATTGTATTAATTAATTATACTATAAATATTATTTTAATTAAATACAAATTCTAATGCCTGGTTGCACCAATAGATCTTAAGCTCCAGCTTAGCCAAGCTCTGCTTATAGCTAGGGCTGTCTTAACTCTCACTTACGTTGCACCATAATTTTCGATTCTAAAATATTCTTTATATTCTTAAAAATAAAAATACAAAATTTGGTTGATCGCCGTCGGACGGTTTGGTTGTGGTCGGTCGATCAGTCTGAGCTGAGGCCTACCTAAGCACGTCTTAAGCTTAAGATATGTTGGTGCAACCAGGCATTAATCCTTCTCATTCCATCTACTCAATAAAATGAAGAGGAGGAGTGACATTGACATTGACATGATAATTAAATAAAATGAAAGATCTGTTTGACAGGTTTGACAACTACTAACTTCAACTTCAAACTTCACACATTTACCACCAGCACCAGAATTTAGTGAATTTTATGGGACCTGTTCAATCTTTGTCGTAAGCAAATAATATAAAAGGAAAAGATTAATGTATGATATAGCCACCGTTAGCAAAATATAAGTTAATAATTCCAAACAATGGACACCATGTAAGTATAACTTACATGTACCAATTATATCTTACAGTTATTATTTTTAGATCCAAATCCAAGTCAAACTTTAAGAGTGATAATCCTCCTGATGACTCTACTCCCAAAAAGAAACACAAGAAAGAGCATAAACACAAACACAAAAAGCATAATTTGGAGAAGAACGAAAAAGTTAAGACTAAAAAGCATAAGAAACATAAGAAACCCAAACACAAAGATGCAGATACACCAGATGATACAAGTGGAAGGTATACTCCAGTCCCAAAGAGCAATGGTAATGGAGTCGTTGTCAATGGCTCTACAGACCCTGATACAGTTTCTGATGCATTAATATCAGGTTTGTAAAACTATAACCTATAATTAGGTAGATATCATTAATTAAATACAAGGAAGGGATATTTGGATAGGCACACTGCATTTTTTTGTTTTTTATTAAAGATTTCAGTTATACATATATACAGATTATTTTGGAAGTGGAAAAACCTTGTAATTCTTCTTCTTCAAGTGCCGTCTCCATCAATGGAGGTTAGCGGTTATGGTGGCAAACGTTTGTCTATTTTCAGCTGTTCTTAAGAGTTCCTCAAATCCAAGTCCACCTTGTAATTATATAGGTATTTATAGAAAATTGTTTTTCCCAATTGAAGTTTTTTAGAGAATAGTTTGCACAACAATGGGATACTTGTACTGTCAAGGTCTGATACTGAATGGGGCAATTCCTAAGGATTATTCGATCAACTATAAATTCTTTCACACTTACATTATATTGTTGTAATTGTAATGTAAAAACGAATAGAAATGTTAACTATTATTGGATGTCATTGATAAGAACTTAAACAAGTCCTCAGGATAAGCGTCTGTGTTGGAGTTTTACAAGTTACATGTCACATTTATGAATTTATCTGAACATTGCCAACTATCACATGTACTACATTTATCACTCTTAGGTTGTCCAATGGATAAATTGAACTCATTATCATAAATAAATCTGAACATGGAATCTTTTACTAAGAATTTGTCTGAAACTTCTGTGTATTTTTTGTTTGGATTGTTAACTCTAGACTAATGAGACAACTGGACAGGAAATGAATCAATATGTTCCATAACATATTTTCTTATATCTAGACCATCTGTCTAAGTCTGGCACTGACAAACTTTTTTTTATTTTGATTGTGGATAAGAGATACTTTCATTTAACCTATTTGGTACAATTTTGTTAGGGCTGATTTACAAATTGGCATATGATTTCCTTTACTGTAGTTTTATTTAGCCCTTTACAAGCCCTTTATTTGTTAGATATTTCATAAGTTTTTTTTTATATGTGAAATTCATAGCATTTCATAGTTATTAGTCACATTAAATCAGTCTTTAGTCATTTAGGGATTTTAATTTTCTTTGTATATAGGTTTAGTTGCGGAAAAATCTCAAGAAGCAGTGTCATCAGAAAGCGAGGATGTAGCAGAAGCAGATTGTGACAGTGTCGACATTGACATGAACGTTATAGAGGCTGATATGGATCTGGAAGAATTAATGAAGCAAAAGGAGCTGCTCCAAGCCCAACTTGCAAAAGCGGAAGGAAGTTTAACTGATGATATTAAAGAGAAGGAAGGTGAAGTTATATTGTTAGAGGATTCAGATGATCAGGAGCTAATTGCGCCCAAGAGAAAAAGGTCTAGAAGCCGAGACAGAAAAATAGAAGTTAGAAATAAGGATGATTCTAGGAAAAAGTGTAACAGAACAAGGGACTTTTATTCTTATAGGGAACAAGACAGGAGAGATAGGTAAGTTATTTTATACATATTATTTTTGAAAAATTTAAGTTGTAGTTATGGCAACGAATATTTTATTTATGTCCAAACTTCTTCAAAATAGATTTGTTTACAGATACCCCCGAGATCAAGACCGTTACAGAAGCAGACACGAAAGGGAGCGTTCACGCGAGAGATCAACACATTATGATTCATTACGGCATAGATCCCGGGAGAGATCTAGGGACAGACGATTTAAAGACTCACGCAGTTATAGTCATAAAGATAGGCACAGAGCAGATGGAGACTATAATAAAAGACACAGGGACTCTGGTAAATCTAGGAGTGAAAAACATGATAAGTATAAGGACTCATTGAGCGAAGGTCAGAAACGTCAAGAAAGTACTGACAGTAGTGATGTCGAGGTTGATATTGATTTGAAAGAGGATGAAGATGAAGAAACTATTATTGAGAGAAGGAGGAAGCAAAGAGAAGAATTACTCAAGGTAAAGTTTGACTCTCTTTTATGTCATTAATATCTAAGAATTTAAAATTTTAAGAGCAATAGGTGTAGTAATATGTAGTGGAAATTTCTGGTATCATCTTATAATAAATATACCTTCCAAATTTGCTATAATCTATAAATGGAAGTGAAAGGACAAGTTTTACTGTTATTGCACTAACGTTTAGTAATATTTGTAATATCATTCATCAAATTTCTAGCGTCTTGGAGCAGACGATCCACGTTCAACCATCTCAAGATCTCAATCTCCTGAAGTCCAAATTATTGAACAAAATCCAGCTGTAGTTCCAGACGTTCCTAAAACAGAAACGACAAATGAGCAAATATCGGACACGCCCAAACCGCAATCAGACGTAGAAAAACAAGATGAAGAATCATTGACTCCTCCACTCTTGCCTAACATGAAAACTGTTGCTCAAACTTCTGCCGATAAAAAGATTGATAAAAAGAGAGCCGATTGGGATATGTTCGCAGAACAGGACATATTTAAAGTTAACACTGTAAGAAAAGTTTACATCATAAGACAAATTTTACATCTCTAAGACAATTCATTTTACAGGCCTCACCAAGCACAATAACTACCAAGGGTTCGGCCGCCGAAAATCCAGCACTTACAGACAATTGGGACGATGCGGAAGGGTATTATAGAGTTCGCATCGGAGAAATACTAGACTCTAGGTACATGGTGTATGGGTATACAGGTCAAGGTGTATTCAGCAACGTTGTCAGAGCACGAGATCAAGCTCGTGGCAATCAGGATGTAGCTGTGAAGATTATTCGAAACAATGAAATAATGTAAGTAATTATTTATTAATGGATTAACAAAAATACTTTTCTTTGTTGCTATCGTTAGAAGAAAGTAATATAACATGTAAATATATGTTTTCCTACAGTCATATAATGGAATTGTCTTAACTATATACTACCTCATAAGTTAATAGAATATCTTAAATATATAGACAGTAGCTGATCATTCATCATCATCACCCAGCCTTTTGCTTCCACTGCTGGATATAGTCCTGCCTTATTTTTGTCCATTGTGCTCTATCTTGAGTACTTTTCATCAAATTTCTTGACATTTTCTTGAGATCGTCAGTCCAAGGGTTGAAGGACTTAAACCTGTAGTAGTATTAGGCGTAATTCTATATTGAAATAAAAATTTATTTAACTTTAGCTCTTTATCACCTGAACTAAAATTCAGGTTACGCAGAGATTGCTTGACAGTTTGTACATATCTCTCTGCGAAACCGTTTCTAGCAGGATGATATGGTGCACTTAATTGATGTAAAACACCATTTTCATTCAAAAATCTTTTGAATTCATATGAAACAAAAGTTTGGGCGTTATCTGATACTCAGTAAAATGGAATCCCGAAAGTTGCGAAGATCTTCCTTAGCACATTTATTGCAGTTTTACTTGTCATATTATTTACTATATGTACTTCAGGCCACCTAATATATGCATCCACAAGTATTAAAAAATATTTATTCATAAAAGGTCTTACAAAATCTATACAGGGTGGTGAATCGTCAAACGGGCCATAGGAAACTCAATGGGAAATTCTAAATTGTTGAATTCCTGCTTCCCTAATTATTTTACACCAAAAGTCATGGGAAACTATTTGTAGAGGACTCAAATATGTATCGAAAACAACTGTTAAAATTATTCTACGACTTAAACGTATTCCAAAATTTTGCTAAAATATAATACATTTTTCTGTGAAAAAATGTGTATTACGTGTTGCGTTTTGTCATATTATTGTTTCTGATATTTGACAATATTTAAATCAATTATATTACATTTATCTATGATTTAAATGGCCAAAATTTTGTGATCTATTGTTAAAAAAAATTAAGTTGATTAAAAAATGTACTCAGTTGAGAAGAAAAAAGCAATAATAAAAATGTTTTATTCATGTTTTATTATAACATTTGTTATAGTTTTATGTTTAGAAATTATCATATATTATTATTAGGAATAAAGATCACAGTAACAGTATATTGGAATTCATTGAATTGTTGTATAACTTAACTTAACATGGAATTAAATTTTAGTGAATTAGAATATCTTACGTTAAATAAAGATCCGTTAGTGGCAGGAAAAGGTTCGCGCTATTGCCTGAATACAACATTATGCGATTTTTCGTCAACTGAGTACATTTCATTATATTGATCGATTTGTAAACAATATAATTTATTGTTCACAAAGTAATAATGTTCATTAGTAGTAGTATTTAGTAAAATTCATTGTTTATAATTTAATCATAAAATAAAAAAATTGACAATTCAAATTGTCAAACATCTGACATAAAATGATAAAACACAAACGTCCTAATATATTTCTTGCATTACGTGTGGCCTAACTTTTAGGGGTGGCCTGAAAAATGTATTATATTTTTGCAAAAATTTTAAGTACATTTGAATCGTAGAACGGTTTTAACATTTGTTTTTAATTTAGATTTTAGTCCTCTACAAATAGTTTTTTATGACTTTTGATCTAAAATAATTAGGGAAGCAGCAATTCAACAATTTAAAATTTCTCATTGAGTTTCCTATGGTCCGTTTGACGATTCACCACCCGGTATGGTCCTGAGACTGGTGCTTTACTAGGGTTACTTTTGTGTTCATTGCAAACAGAACAGTTTTTGCACAATATTTCAATGTCTTTAGTAATACCTGGCCAACAACAGTGGCTTCGTGCAAGAGATTTCATCTTCACTACTCAAAAATGAGCAGTATGTAGTTCCTGTAATATTCTGTTTCGAAGGCTCCCTGGTATTATAACACAGTCGTTCCGTAAGATACAACCACTCTGTACCGTAAATTCTATTTGGGGTATATAAAATCGTTGTGTCTACACTATTGGCATTTTCCAGGTTGTTTTGCACTGATGTAATTTATAAAAAATATAAACGTAATTCGCTCTGTCCTCGTCGCCAACTGTTGTGTCCGTACACACTTTGTAGATATCTTGACTATCTTGGTTGATGTCTTTAGGATTGAAATGAATGTACTCGTAATTTGTAAATAACATCTTATATTTATGAAAGCATGTAGTACAATGAAAATAGGTTAACACCCCCGCAGAAAATGATAGCATGTCCTTTCATGACATTTGGTGTGTTCCGTAGGTGTAGGCCGGAACAGCAGTTTGTAATGTTATAGAAGATATAGCAGGTATGTTCGATTTGTTCTTGGTTGTATTTCCGAGTGTCGTGTCTAACAGCTTTGGTTCTTTATTTAACTTTTGTAGTTCGTCGGCTTTAGTTATCGTCTCGCTTCTCATTTCTCTTCTTTTCTGCATTAGTTGCCTGGTATTTTGGCTAATCTTCTCTTCTTTAGCCGATCATTATATCTATAATAAAAAAGTATTTCAGTTTAAAAACCTTTCTACAGCAGTGGCGAAGATCTGTGATCGCCAAACAAACTGTAAATCTCAATCAACTGTGGTACTTCCTTATCACATACCTCTTAAAGCCGATAATGTTTTGAATAAGCTTTAAAACCTAGAATCGTTCAGTTCACAAGTTACCTTTGTAAACCCGACCCACAATTAATTTTTTACCTTGATCTACCCTCCCATTTCGCCTTCGTTCCCTCGATTTTACTGTTTTCGTTAGCATATACATTAAAATGTCAACTTCCAGGCACAAGACCGGCTTAAAAGAGTTGGAAATACTGAAAAAGCTAAATGATGCCGATCCAGAAGACAAACTTCATTGTCTTCGACTAATACGACATTTTTTCCATAAGCAACATCTGTGTATGGTTTTTGAACCTTTAGCGATGAATCTTCGAGAGGTTTTGAAAAAATACGGAAAAGATGTGGGTCTGCACGTGAAGGCAGTCCGAAGTTATACTCAGCAGTTGTTGTTGGCGTTGAAATTACTGAAAAAGTCTGGCATATTACACGCAGGTAAGATCTCATTATTATTTTTTAAAGTTTTATTAACCGTTAAACGGACAGGAAAAGGAATTTAACTCTAAAAATAGAACACAGTGCGTGTTTGGAATAAGTTTATTAAAAAATATACCATTTTTTTAACTAATAAAGAGGAAAAATCCCAGTGGTTGCCTGTATACCATAGTTTAAATGAACTTTATACCGGATATATATTTATAACGGATTGCAAGGTCATCAGAATGTTTTCGGTATTATTAGACCATCATCAGTGAATACTTAGAAGTAAGTATTTCGACGATAATATAATGAATAAAAATTGTTAAATGTTAATTGTTAATTTCACAAAAAAATGTGGTAAATACTTACATAGTTTGCACTGCCACTTTTGATCACATTGTAAATGTCTTAAAAATTAAAATTAAAGTGACATGAAGTCGTAAAAGATTTAATTTTAAAGAGAACATACTAAACTCTACGAAATATGTACTATATGTGTCTGAGGAAAGGTATCAGCCAACTGAAGTGATGGATCTGTAAGTCAAATTAATTTAACCCTTTAAGCCGCAAGTTTCTTATGATGAACTTTTTTCAGATAATAATTTGAGATACTATAGTTAGTACATCAGTTATAAGATTTTGAATATATTTTTGTTTTTTCTATGAAAAAATGCTGGTTTTTTAGGGATTCTTTGTAAATTATGTAAGAATTTATTATGGATGCGTCAAAAAGGTAATAAAATAACTTCATCCAGCATCGACGACTGTTCCAAGATATTGAGTATGTCTGTATTCGTTAGTAAAACCGATTAACACCGCCCATATACATATTGTAGTCTACAATGGCTTGAGGACAGCGGATGTTTTCTCGTTCTGAAATTTTTGATGTTCTCAAAACAAAACCAGTTTCTGGATGATTATGCATATTGCTGCACACGGTCACAGGTTTTGAGCCACGATCGTTCCACTTACTTACAGTTATATCATTGCAGACAACTTCATCAATTTCACCCATTTTCATTTTTCTATCATCTACTAAATGTGCTTTTGGAAAATATTTTCGTGTTTGTCTTACTATTCCACAACCAAAATGACCTAGTTCTTTTAAATTATTCATAAAAGGAAATGTGGTAAAAATATTGTCAAAGTACAAGCAGTGTGCCCTTTTTTCCAACAATTTAATTAAATTCAGTATAGCTCTTTTCCCTAGAGTATGTTCGTTAGTATGTTCAGGTTCTCTACCTTGATATCTACTCAAAATTGATGAGGTAACCTGTTTCAGCACATGCCATTTCCCAAATTTTTATACCTCACTTTATGGGTTTCATTGGCATGTACTAATCATACTTTCATCATTTGAAATATTTCTGATCGGAGAAAAATATTCCATAAAGGTTTTTTTATTTTTGAATAAGAGGTCTCACTTTGTACAACTTGTCAAATTCCCGAGTTCATCTGGCTGGCATTTGTGGGTGACCATTCAAATGAATATATCTTAATATCCCATATTACCATGAAGGTCATATGGTCTTCGTAATTTTCTAATATTTGTGTAATTAAGTTCAATAGATACCTAAATTTGTTTATTGTTTTTATTTTTCTTTAGATATCAAACCCGATAACATTCTTGTCAACGAAAGTAAACACCTTCTTAAACTGTGCGATTTTGGTTCGGGGTCAAAGATAAACGAAAACGAAATAACCCCTTATTTGGTGTCGAGATTTTACAGAGCTCCCGAAATCATCCTCGGCATGACTTACGACTACGGCATCGACATGTGGTCCGCAGCCTGCACCATCTACGAATTATATACGGGAAGAATAATGTTTTCTGGCAAATCCAACAACCAGATGTTGAAATTTTTCATGGACGTCAAAGGGAAATTTCCGAATAAAGTGATAAGAAAAGGGGCATTTAAGGATCAACATTTCGACTCTAATTATAAATTTTTTGTATCAAGAGATCGATAAGGTCACTGAACGGGTAAGTTTTTGAATATTTTAAATCATTAATTATATATACAAAACTTGTTTTAAATTTTACAAAAAATGTTTTATGTTTGACATTAATGTAGCATAAAAAAATCTAATATAGAGGAAATGATGCAAATATGGGCTTACCCATTTCTTCATAAAAAAAGAATAAAAATTCTATTTCAATTTCTATTGAAAAAATTCTATTTCTATTTCAAAAGTATGTAAGAATACCTATATTCAGTTACTTATAACCTGCATAAAGTCCAAATTGATTAAAAAACATATAACTGTTTTAAATGTACAAATAAATTGTACCTTCGTGTCGTTTGAATAATGATCCTAAATATGGGCTACCCCGAAAAATGTGTTTTAAATTTGTGTGAAATGAGATAAATGCGTGACAAATATATTTTAATATCTAAAATACAAACAATATATCAAATAACTCATAGGCAATGACGTATGTGTTTGATTTTCTCAAGTTTTCTTTTTTTTTACTAGGGGAAAACTATTTGCAAAAGTCAGATACATATTCTTCTTTGTCGGCCACAGCGCACTCGTTATGTGCCCACAAATGGCACATGAAGCACTTGACTCATATTTTTTGACTTGACTTGACTCACTTTTTTTATTTTTTCTTTGCCTTTTCCTACTTCGTTCTGCTCCCATTTATCTTTGTTGAGAGATTGTATCAATTCATGTTTGTAAGGTGAAGAGGTTATTACTGAACACTTACTCGGTTTACGCCCACGATTGGAGGTTTTTTCTTTAATAATGGCACAGGAGAAAGATCATATGGTGTTAGCAGAGATGTTCTTAAAGACCCAGATGTGAAAGGAATTGATGGAGTGGGCTTATTCTCAAATAATTTTCTTTTTACACCGAGCTCTGCACTAGGTCTTCTGCAAGGCGTGGCATACTTTTCTGTAAAAGAAAAAAAAATTTGTTAAAATCCTTTATAAAAGTATATAAAAATTGCCTCAAACGGGCTATCACAAACACATTGCAAAACGTTTTCGGATTAAACAATCCATCATCAGTGCAAACCTGAAAGTATATAACCACTTTAATTAAAAAGAACGTTAAATGAAAATGTTGACAAAGGTTAGAGCAAAATGTGGTTAATACTTACGGTTGTACATGCTAGTAGCCACCAAAATATATGGGTAAAAACCCCTTAAAAGTTATAAATTTGAAATTATTTTACATTATTAGTGTTTATAATTTGTGATGGTTAAGTTACCGTTGGATAGGTAACATGGCGGCGTATGACTCTACATGAGTAAAATGGTCCTGAGACGAAGTGCCTACGAGGACCTGTTGATAACAACTGATTATAATGACATTGTTGACAAGTTAGGACGGATGTTGTGTCAGAGCAGTCAGTGTAACTTATGGTAGTTGTCTAAAATTGACAGATGTCAGCCTTATTTAAAATTAAAAAAATTAAAATTATAATAATGTAACAGTATCAACCATCAATATTGTAATCTGTATTGTAAATTAATCAGATAGGTATATTTGTAACATTGAAAATTGGTTTTTTAAAAATTAATGTAGGTCAACTAGAATTTATGAAATTTTGTGGGATTGATAGGCAACCAACTATACATGTGTAAGGATATATTTATTTTAAGCTAGAGATTTTGTCAAAAGGCCCTGTATGTTGTGAGACATTTGGTACCTAGAAAATGGTAAAAAGACACATGTGGGAAGATGGGTCCTAAAAGATATATTATTGAGTATTGATGTAATAGGTGGAAGTGTGTTTAGATCTGTTATTGAGCTGAAATGTAAATGTGACAAGAATGTGATCATAATATGGTGTTCATGTAGTACTCAACTTAAAACTTAAGTATGGAAGGCCCTTTATGTCAAAAAACTACATTTGGTACCTAGTAAAGATAAATAAAATAGATTTTTAAGTTATAAGTAAGTAAACATGAATTACTGGTTATGTGTGTAAAGTAAAGATGGTAGGTTGTTTATGTGTGTGGGCAAGTATGCCAGACTGAAAGAAATATGATGGCTGAAAGATGGTTAGGTGTGATATTGTTCCTACATTGCTCGAGTTATAACTCAAGAAAACAAAAGGCCCTATATGTTAAAAGAAACATTTGGTACCTAAGAAATATAAAAGTAAAAAGGATGAGTTATAAGTTAGAGTGTAGGTAGGTGAAAAGTTAACAGGCTTATGGAGTGTATTGTGACAATATGTGGAAATGTAAGAGTAATTGTGTTTAAGGTGGATCTGTCAAGTTTACTAAAGATGTGTGATGTTTAAATGTTATTGTGAAGATGAATGGGAAAACTACAAAAGACTGAGGACCACAGAGACCCGAAAACCAAACCCTGAGGGAAATTGGATGAGTGAAAAGAAGTTGTAAATGATAATGAAAAACGCAGTATGAAAAGGTGAAGATGTGTGATTGAGTGGGTGATGGTGTATATTAATGAAAATTGTTTTTGGAAAGAATGTGGCATGAAGTGCTCTGAAATTATTTTGTTGGGAAGGAGCATGGAGAATATTGGTTATTAGGTCAGATTTGAAGTTTGGATGCCTAGACAGAAGTGAGGAAAAAAGAGAAAGAAGTGAGGAGTTGGATATATTGAACAAAGTTTGAGGGGGCTAAGGATGATTAGTAGGTGATAAGAGAAGGATGAGAATTTAAATAATAAAGAAGAAGTAAGTTTGATAATAAGTTATGAGAATAATTGACGGTGGAGCGGAAGAAAGTCTCGATTAAATGAAACATGGCGATTGACACAATTTGGACTTCTCTGTTTTTCTTTAATGATTTCTAGGTCTTCATATAGGTCTAATTTGAGGAAGTTTTTTTGTGGGATGTTGTGAATAAGTGAGACGTCTTCTGGGATATTGAGAGTGTGGTTGTGTTCTTTAAGGTGTTGAGAGAAAGTGGAAGTATTTTCTCTTTTTGTGTGCTCTAAAGAGCGTGAAAACAATGATCTACATGTTCTTCCTATGTAGGTAGCATCACAATCAGAACATTTTAATCTATACACACCACTACGGTTCATATAGTTGATGGGGTCTTTGGAATTGGATATGTACTGACCCAAGTTATTAGGTACTTTAAATGAAACATGAATGTTTTCAACCGAACGTTTAATTAGATTTCTAATATCTCCAGAAAGACTCTCATGGTGATAAGGAAGTGAAACATAATTGGGTTTGGTGGTAGGATCTCTGGGGAACGCAGTCTCCTGCAAGTTCCTACGACGTTTTCTATAAATGAGTTTATTGATGATGTTATGATCATAACCGTTGTTGACTGCTATTTGTCTGATAATGTTTAGTTCTTTTGTGTAGTTTGAATGAGAAAGTGGAATGGTTTCCAGGCGATGGATGTAACTGTGAAAAGCAGCATATTTGTGAGACATGGGGTGATTGGATGAGAAGGGTATTACATGGTCAGTCTGTGTAGGTTTCCTAAAGATACTGAAGTCGAAGTGGTCATTTAATCTGGTAATGGTGAGATCAAGAAAATTAATTGACTTGGAAGATTCTAGTTCCATGGTGAACTTGATATTGGGGTGAATTTGATTAATTTTAGAAAGTAATAGTTCAGCTGAATTGGAGTTACCTGAAATGAAGACTAAACAGTCATCAACATAACGAAACCAATGGAGTATTTCAGGATTTGTCATAATCTGTGTGGATTCTAAATGATCCATAAATACATCAGCTAATAGGGGGGAAAGACAGCTGCCCATGGCTAAGCCATCAGGTTGTCTATAATATTTGTTGTTAAAAACAAAAAAGTCTTGGTCTAAACAAAGTTGTAATAATTGGATAATGATTGATTGATTGATGGGAATTGCGACAATCTGTAAACTAGTTGAAGGACCAGCATTAACCTGTGTATTAGTTTTAGGAATAGTTTCAAGCTGTTTATTAGGCCCAGATGGAAGAGTGGGAGAATTATATGATAAATTATTGTGGCTGAAACAACAATCGGTTGTGCTCTTAGAATTGATAGAGTTATTGTCAGAATTTGTAGGTTCATTTAAATTGACAGCAGCGGTTGAAATGACGATCACCTTCTCATCTTCATCACTCACATCATCAAGTGCGGCTATCGAAGTATTTTCTGCTTCAATTTTAGTTGCCATGAAATGGCAATGGGTGCAATGCACCCAGTGGGTGCAATGGGAAGACAATTATATTGACATGATGATCTCTAGCTAAATCTATGACTTCTATATTATGTATATGGCTGTAATGACCATCCATAATAAGCAGGACAGGTGATTTTTCTAAGGGTTTCACTGTGTCAATGAAATGTTGAAGCCATCTTGTAAAAATATTGCCTTGTATCCATCCACTAGGATGTATTGCCGTAATGGAACCTGGAGGAGCTCCTTTTATCAGTTGCTGGTTAATATTTTTACGTTACAGAACATTGAAGGAGGATGCGACATTTTCTTTGTTAAAGCCTCTTGCTCGTGAATATGATGTTCTCGTTGGTCGTCGTACTGATAGCTCTTTATGGCGTCACAGAAAAAGCCTCAGCTAGGTTCTGTCTGCCATATTACCTCCAAACGGATGTTAGATATTTTTCCTGGAAGCTAAGACGTACGCCATCCTCCTGAGATCTTTTCTGGTCAATCCCTAAGACAGTTGTACACCTTAACTTTATTTCAGCAGCTTCAATTGGCGTTAGTTCAAGTTTTTTTTGCAGAACGTTGCAACGTTGTGGGACATTAAACATTTTTGCAGCTTTCAGAGTACCCATTTCGTGCTGCCTGACAGCTACAATTGCACATTTCAGCTATTGTTTTGACATCATGAACCAATTGAAGTATATTTTACATTGTTCTAAATATGGGCCACTACCCTATAATGAAAACAGAGGCATAGCCCATATTGTAAACACGTTTGCTTTGCACAACAAAAGAGGTTATGTCTAAAAGTAGTCAATTTGAAGAAGACTCATTCGCATATATCAAAGACTGATTATAGAGCTTTAACGGGACACAGACGTTTTTTTGAAATTAGTGTTTATTTACAAATACTGGATTTTATCAACTTATCCGAAAAAGTTTTGACACTCACACCAACCGACAAACAGTATATTATAAACTGGGAAATATCTGCCATTGTAGATAGTTTAACTTGGCAAAATATCGTTTGAAGTAGTCAAAATGTATAGATCAGCAATGAATAACTGTGAAACCTATCTAGCCCTATTACAAGACCTTATTTGCAGCCTTTCTTCTATATTTTTTAATTTCCCCATTTAGTTTTCAACATCGTCTACTTTTCGTTCAATGCATTTGATTTTACGCTTTTCCAACTTTTTTTTTGCCTTACCAGCAGTAATTTTGCTCGAGCTCTTTTTTTTTCAAGATTAGGAACATGAAATAGTTGCACTTTCCCGAGTTCTATGCCTAGTTTATCTATAACGTAGACTTCGTAATACAACCTTAAATGTGAAAGTTTATAGGAAATTAACTAATATTATATATATGACGATCTAGTTGTGTCCATGGTAAGTGCAATGGAGTTATAAGGTTCCACATATTCTGCTCTTCTTTTACTAGATGCTCGATACATTTAATCCAGGACTCTAAGGTCACATTGCTGAAGGCACTGTTAAGCAGATTTTTTACATAATTGAATTTAAAAGTAACATTGTTCCTTGCTACTTCATTATTATTTGAGCCCACATACGTTCTATCGAGTTTAACTCGCAATGGTATGGCGGCAATCGAACTACAATTACACAGCATGTCCTTTATTTAACCATGTTTCATCTGTATATGTTTTTCTTCCATCTCTTCGAAATTATGCTATTTGTTTATAGCTGTTGTATAGGCCAGTAAATATAAAAAAAAAACGTGAATTTGTTGCTTGTGTGAGTCCATTTCAAATAGGTAAAGAAATAATAAATCAGATTTACTCACAATCAATTTAATTTAACTATCCGACGACCGGTTTCGCTTTCTACAATATGCAAAGCATCTTCAGGTCTCGGTACAAAGTTAAACAAATGCTGAAATGATAAAAACCCATATTAGGGTGTTGTCTAATAAAGATAAACAAATTAGATGTTATAAATTACAATAATTATGCCAATATTACCTGTCTGTGGTTTTATTTAAATGATTGAGTTGAATAAAAGGTATAAATATTTTTTAAAAAAGTTAAAAGGACAAGGTAAGGCCCACAAATTGTCATAAAATCTCTTCTATTGGAATAAATTAATAAATGAACAAATAAATAAATGAAATAAAATAAAATTACTTACATACCGGTACTCTATTAATAGATGGATGGTAGAACATGTTTGAAACTACTGTATATTGTTGAATGGAGAACTCAATACTATTATTGCAGTTGTTTGACAGTAAACGGGAAGTTCTTGGGGAGGTAGATTTGATCCAATGAATTTGAGATGTGTGTGAGAAAAATTCATTGGATCAAATCTACCTCCTCAAGAACTGCCCGTTTACTGTCAAACAACTGCAATAATAGTATTGAGTTCTCCATTCAACAATATACAGTAGTTTCAAACATGTTCTACCATCCATCTATTAATAGAGTACCGGCATGTAAGTAATTTTATTTTATTTCATTTATTTATTTGCTCATTCATTAATTTATTCCAATAGAAGAGATTTTATGACAATTTGTGGGCCTTACCTTGTCCTTTTAACTTTTTTAAAAAATATTTATACCTTTTATTCAACTCAATCATTTAAATAAAACCACAGACAGGTAATATTGGCATAATTATTATAATTTATAACATCTAATTTGTTTATCTTTATTAGACAACACCCTAATATGGGTTTTTATCATTTCAGCATTTGTTTAACTTTGTACCGAGACCTGAAGATGCTTTGCATATTGTAGAAAGCGAAACCGGTCGTCGGATAGTTAAATTAAATTGATTGTGAGTAAGTCTGATTTATTATTTCTTTACCTATATAAAAAAAAAAAACATTAAAACATGACTCACTCGATGCAATTGTGGTACAGTAGTGTTGGACAATATTTTAGTTAGCTTATCGTTCTCTTATGATATTAGCTTCGGTTTTATATCCACGTATTTCGTTATAATTTGTGTAAAGTTTTTTTTTTAAACTGTATATGAAGTGAATATTTAAATTAATTTCTCTTTCTCTATAGGAAAAGGTCGTAGTTATGTCTGTGGTAAAAGTATCACGTGACTTACATTCGGAACTTATAGCAGGCCAGAGCTTACCTACAGAACAACTACGCAAAGTAACCCAGCTCAAGGACCTTCTGGAAAAAGCGTTGGCGATCGATCCCGCCAAAAGGATAAGCCTGAACAATGCGTTGACGCATCCGTTTATTCAAGACAAGATCTAGAAAAGGTTTAGAGAGGTAAACTATGTGAAGAAATCCAAAAAAAGTTTATAATTTTTTTTAAATGCATTTTACACCGCACATATTTGGCCTGTATATATAGTAATGACTATGATGTAATCATATTTAAATAAAATTATGTTCGTTTTATAAATATTCGTATGAGTCGGTTTTTTCGTATTACCCAATCAGCCGAAATCGTCTTATACTTGTTTGAGATATCTCTAGAACTATAACATGATTTTTGTTTAAATATTTTCATTATTTCGTTTATTTAAACATTTAGTTATTATCACACTAAGATAAGTACTATCGTGAGAAATAGCTGCATTTTGCTGTGCCGAGCTTTCGACTTCCCTAGTGCAATCATCTCCACAATACAGTTGACTGCAAAAGTACTACTTCTGTTTGATGTCTTCCAAGCCACTTCTTTAGTATTGTCGACGGAGACATGGTTCGTTGACGTAAGGAATACTGTCACCGGAGGAGGATTTTGAATTATTTTGATAGCATTAGCTTTGGTGTTGTGGTGATTTAGAAAAGGTCTTCATCATGAAGACCATTATTCGCTTCTCGATTGATCCGGGGTTGGAGAAAACAAAGTGAAACTTTAGGTTTATATTTTGAAAACTGTAAATTCTATTGGTTATCTTTTTTTGTCTCTGGTTCCCTACACAAGTGCTTTTTCTATTTCGCTTGCTTTGAGATATTGCTTTTCTGACGACTGGAAAAGGATTTGTGCAGGCTGACTTGGTTTTTTGTAGCCATTCAATAAAAATATCTATCTTGAAAGTAATCGGAAACCATCATCTATTAAGTTGAAACAATCGGGATGTTTTGGCATCTCAGTAGCTTTTTGGATGATCCATGGTATAAAAACACAAACGGGAGCTACAGTTTTGGATTTTAAAACTATTTCTTTGGTCCATCTAACTTATTAATATGTATATACGAATAACTTAATATTATAAATTATATAAATCATGCATTTTAATTTTATTTTCAATGTACCGGACTAGCGATGAGAGTTTTTGGTGTGTATGTAAAGAAGCTGTTGATTATTATGAATATTATAGACTTTACTGTTGATGCCTTTGATGTACGAAAGAAAGGCCTTTGTAGGTTGCTTTTAGATTGGAGGAGATTAGGAATTTTGCAGAAAAAACATGTTACTTTTTCATCATGTTTATTGCAACTATCTACATCTTTTTCCCTCTCCTTTACCCAAAGAACTGTATGTTCAATAATATTTTAACATATTTTCGTGGGTTGCTGAACATTGTCGCAATGAAGACTGAACGAGGGAGAGAATTTTGCGTTAGTAGTTAGCTTTTACTTCGTGGTACCTTAAATTCTTAATTTAATTGGATGCTGTCATCTATTTTGTTGAAACAATAGGGGCGTTTTTGCGTTTCAGTAGCTTCTCAGATGATCCACCATTTGATGTAGTTTTAAAGCGGCATTTGAAGACAACTATTTGATATGTTCATATTCGTTCATATTCTAGTTTGTTCCGTAAATAATAAACAAATAGCTTGTATTAAAATCTTAATATTTTAGTAGATATCTCGAAAAAGTATAACGATTCTCTCCGTTCTTGTCTATTGAATTAATTAATATTTTGTGATTATTTTGTTGCAGAATGTCGATAGACGGAAACCAGACATATCGGTACGAGCAGATGGTTTGAAACTATTCAAAGGTATTTTTAGTGGGAATCGACGTAGATAACTCTTTCAAATGCATTGAATACATTTTTGATATGTTTTTATACCCAGTAACGCTAAAGTATTTGTTAATATTCTGGCTGGCGTAATTTTTCGGTCTTTTGACCTTTTTGTCTATAAGTATTTATGATCAAACAACAAATATTCAGTATTTATAGTTTTGATACAGAAATTGACATTCTTTACAGTTCTTTTTTTTAAAGATTTTCACAAATATTTATTTTTTAAATGAGCCAAAAATATCTTTTTCTCAATATTCAGACTAGTTTTTCCAGATTTTTTTTCCAGGCAGAAATTTTTAGTTGGCAATCCACAAAAATGGCTTATGCCTCTAAAGAAATACTCTCTCAATTCTTTCGTCAGTTCCTTTTTTTTTTCTTTGCTCATGCCACGTTTTATTTACTTTTTTGTTCTATATCAATTTTTCAGCGAAGTCCATCGAGATACTCCTCTAGTTCTTCTGGTTAGTTTTCAGCCTTAATCTTGACATTTTGGTTTTTATACTTATTATATTATACTGAATTCTTGTGAATATTATTTGATGTAGTGTGTATATTTTTCGTGATAGGTTTCAAAAAAAGTTTATATAAAAGTTTTCAAACAAATCAGGCTATTTGTATAAATCGATCAGAAGTATGTTGAATGCACCATTTTCCAAAAATGTGTAAATGATTCACCCTGTACATATTTCTTAATTCTGTAGAATCTAATAAATTAAAAATAAATGATTTGGCTCGAAGGACCAATGTATAGACCCAGTATGATGGAGATATATTGATAAATAAATGAAGTATTATACTAGTAATAAATACTGAAATTTAAGTTCAATAATCTTTGGAAATCGCCAGCTATAACTGTAGTTTAAGAACAGAAAAATGTATTCAACGCTTAAGCGTGCTAATATCTAACATTCTGACCTGCCGTGTTTTCTTTCTAGTGAAAACTGAATCATACAAACAATTGAATTGAATTATGAACAAAAGAATTGGTTATGACATGCATTTAAAAGTTAGCTGCATGACAGACTGGGAAAAAGAGGCTAAGTATTCTACTGATTAACAGATCACATTCTAATCATTTTCATTTTTATTTTAGTTTAAATTATTTAATATTATAAATCCAGAAGTTGAAGATAAAGGAATGAACAGTAGATGGAGCAGCTAATTTGGTGCCAGATGCTATTTGAAGTAATAGTGCATTAGAGCAGTATGAATTAAAACAGTTGTAATACGTTTAGCATAATAAAAAATTGCTTATGTGATTTGTTTTTTTTTGACGTTATAATTGTGGATTATATATTTCATGTCAATTACAAAAGGATATTAAGAACAAGGCCGGACAAACAAAAAAAGAGGTTTGTGTATTTATTGTAGTGATTTATTTATCGTATGGTACTTGACACTTAAATTTACATATATTTTGTATAAAAATAATACATATATGTTTACAAACGAACATCAACTTATTTATATAGTCTATCGACTCTGGAGTCACTATTAGGAAATCCTCTGACCTGCCATGATAGGATCTTGTGGGACACTTCTGTGATGTTACACATGGTTTGTGGTTGTTCGCAGTCACAGAGTGGGGATGGTCTTTACCCCATTTGTGCATCATGTAACCGCAACTGCCGTGTTGGGTTCTGATTCGATTCAGCATAGTCCATGTGTTGCGTGGTAAGTCAAAACCTGGTGGTTTTTGTGTGATGCAGGGTAAGCTGTTATTTTATTGTTCCATCCATTCTCGAGTCCAAGTGGTCGTTAAGTTGAACTCATTTTCCACAACAGTCAGTGTTAGTTTTTAATGGTGATCATCTGGAGCGTAGGCGGTTACCGTTGGCAGCATCTATATCTTGATGGATGGAAACCTCTGTTTTGGTAGCGTTTGGTTGGAGACTCCATTTACCTACACTGTGTGTAAAGTCCGCCGTGAGGATTTCTTCTGTTTCTTCAAATGACTTAACCCTTGTTGCAAGGACTCAGTCATCGGCGTAACCAAACTCCCTTGATCTTGTTACTGGTATATCAGCGATGTACAGGCTAAAGAGGAGAGGAGCTAGGACAGATCCCTGAGGCAGTCCATTCTTTAGTATTCTTGGGCTGCTGATGTCGAATTCCAATGACTACTTGAATCGTTCGGTCGGCTAGCATGCTGTTGATTAATCGAGCGTTGGATTTACAGGAGATTGTATGGAGGAGCTTGCATATCATGCCTTCTATCCAGACTATATCATAGGCCGCTGTTAGACCTATGAATGCGGCTGCAGTTTTCTCTGGAACCCTTTCTCCATAAATGTGGTAAGTGAAAGTTGAGTTCCTATACATCCTTGAGACCTATAGTGACTTTTTCGCAAGTGAAAGGGCGAGAGTATTCGGTTTTCGGTCGATTGGAATTTTAAAGTCTTGAGCTCTTGTTTTACCTTGATTTTGTGTGACTTGTCTTTCGGGGCCCTAGATGTCGTTGTTATGGGAGTTCGGCTTCCTAATTTTCTTAGTAGTGTCCATGCTTGCCTAGTTGATGTTTGAAAATTAAAACTTTCTACAGTTTCCGTCGATTTTTGTTGTCTCACTACATCTAGGCTATGAAGCAGTTCATCGACTAATTTTTTATCGCCGGTTTCAAGGAAATTTTGGTACAGTTATTTGCTGTTATGCGGCCAACCAGGAATGTATTCTTGTCGATAGCCTCTTGATATATGCTTTTTGGTCGTGTTTATTACGGCTCCAACGAATCTTTTGTAATTCTGATAGTAGGAGGTATCCAGCCTAGAGTCTTGTCCAGTTCCGCAGAAACCTACCTCACATAGCATTCTTTAGATTCCACCGTGGGCGAGGGATGCATGTGATTATAGGAATTTGGGTTCCTGCCCCTATGATCACTGGGCGGTGTTGGCTGTGTAGGAAGGCGTCCATTACTTTTCGAGAGACTGCTAGGGGTGTCCGTTTTTATTAGTAGAGACAAAACATATATCAGATTGTACTCATTCTTCCATGCTGCTGACATTAATATAGGTCGGTCTTTAGCATCAAGCCTAAGTGATAGATGTTCGTCCTTCGCCCATTTTACTAGTGCATTCCCATTCCCTCTGCACTGTTTATATTTCCTCTGTTCATGGGGACTGTTGTAGTCCCCATATTGATGGATGCGGATATGTTTGGATGACTTGAGGTGACGAGGATATTGCTGGTAGTAAAATTAAAAATCTTGAAACTAAACACTATTCATTCAGCACGTATAACAATGTAAACGTACATTTTTCATTGTATTCATCCTCAAACAATTAGTTTATTCCTAAATTCTTAAGATTTCGTTTATTTGTTAACTTTCTATTTTTTCTCTAAAAAGTTGGCGCCCAAATTTTCTCACAACTAAATATCCTGCTTAATTATTATTTCTTTATTTCGATTTTCTACTATTCAATCAAACTTCCTTATTAAACTTTCGTATAGCCTTGTATGCGTCTTGTCATTTTAAACGTTATTGTTAGACACTTAAAGAAGAAGGCTGTGAGTTTCTAAGAACTCTGGCAATATCTTGTATAGCTATTTCAGCATCTTCGGAAGGTAAATTGAAAATGGCTTTTCAGTTGGACAGATGATTAACAATGTGATAAGTAATCAGAGTAATTGAAACCTTTTGCTAAATATTGAGTGGCAGTGGTAGAAATAAAGATATCAGAAAAATTGTGAACCACTGTGGTAGGTTCCAAAGTTGTAAGTTTTGGAATTTGTTCGCTAATTTGCGCTTTTGAGTTTCAGTCTTAGATTCTAAAGTGTTTAAGGCTGGTTGTCTGTATGTTTATACACTCGAAACTGTCTTATAGATGTACATTGAAAGAATGAATAGATGACCACATATTAAAACTTGGGTGTTTGCGACATCTAGTGAAATGAATAGCTTCAAGGAGAAGTGCAAAATTGGGCTTTCTAGAATTTAGGAGATAGAAGAAGTATGTGTTTGAGTTTTAGAAATTTGGGAATTATTTAATGGTCTCGATAGGCTTTAAGGAACGTTAAATCACAAAGAAGGCGATTCTTGCGCAGCAGCAGATTGTGTTTCTGTATGATTTAGTGAGGCGAGTAAATAAGAATTCTTTTTTGAAATGCTAAATTGAAAATCTTCATGAGAGTGTAATGAAATTGATGAAACAAATCAGGAGAGCAAAAAATATTACAATTCTTCCAGATTACATAATTTGATAAACCTGTCAAAATTACTTTTGCTGAAATCCTACCCCATAAGGCTGTATAAGTACGATTGTTAATGGGAAATTCACATAGAATGGGATCATGATCTGATGAAAAATAGGGAATTGATTTTGGAAGATGAAATAAGTGTTGGACATGAACAGGTTTTTGAGATACAAGTGGTCTTGTTGGATACTGTATTTACTTTCCGGAAATGTGTAAACTTAAATGTATGATAGGAATTTTTGTAAAAAGTGAAACGATGTCAAAACTTTTTTTTGCGAATTTTCGGTAGGCCATACATTTGAGATGTTTCTAGAAGAATTAAAGTTTGTTTTACGATAACAAGAAGCAAGGTTTTATTGATGATAACTTTTGTTGTTTTCTCTAGATGGGTTGTTGGATTATTAGGAATTGGTTTGTAGTTTGGAGTGTTAGTGAGATTTGGGAGTTTATTAATGTAAGAAGAAGTGTTTAGGATGACTATGGCGTTTCCTTCATCGGCTAGAAGAATGACTAAATTTGAATTTGACTGAGTTCTTGTAGGGCTTTTCTCTCGGGATTGGCTAATGTTTGGAGCAGTGGGCTGTGGGTTTCTAAGAACTCTAGCGATGTCTTTTCCAGTTATTTTAGCACATTCGAAGGGTAAATTGGAGATAGTTTCTTCAGTTTAAAATTACTAATAAAACAAAAAAGTGCCAAATGCAGTAGGTACTTTGAAATTAAAAGCAGTGGAAAAATTTATATTTTTATTGCACTGATCCCTTTGAATATTAGGTTCTAATAAGTAAATATTTATATTTTAATATAACATTATATTTCCATATATAGATATAAATAAAAATATATACAAAACTTATAGTTAGAGTATTTAAAGGTCTTGTACGGACAGGTAGACATTTAAAAAAAATCAACAAAAATTTTTCGAAGGAAACTTTTCCGAAACATTCAAATATTTGCACGAGTTGGTACTTTTGCAAAGTTTTTTGTTAAAAAATTATAATGTGGTGCTCAGAAATTTGAAACTTGAACCTTATTTTAAATGGCTTTTTGCAAAATGTTTTTGAAATAACGCACTTTGCTGTCAGAGTACTCCTACATAAATTTTGAAATATGGCAACAGATATTTAAAAACGTTATGATAAAAGCGATGTAAAGATTTGATGTATACGTTCTCAGAATAATTTCTCATATAATAGCTTTTTGCCTCGTGTATAGTGACTTGAATAATTCTTCTAAAGTATTCGTTCCCTTATTTTTTGACTCTTCTGCTTTGGAGTCTGCCAACACTGTTCCACTTTTAATTATTGGCATTTTTCAACACGACTAGATTTACTGCGTTCAGCTGATTTTTTTAAATTTAATTTGCTTGGTGACGAATTTTGTTAGAGTTCGTCGAAAATTCACTCTTTTGTGCCATAAAATATCGATAATATGTAAGAGATAACATTTTGGGGGATGATGAGATTGATTAAAAAGTTGGTGCATATGCATGATAAAGTATATCTAATGCTCTTCATAGAAAGTGTTTCGAAAGATTATAAATCCATTTTAGATGATAAATATTAGTTTTTAGGTACTTACTCAAAAGAATCTTGATCTATTATTAGCCATTTCGTGTATCATTTGACATAAAATAACTGTTTTCCACCACAAAAACAAAAGCTATACATTTTTCACGAAAATCAAATCCATAAAAGCTCCAAATTTATTTTTATACAATTCTCCTATAGAATATACAAAAGAAATAAAATTCCTAGGGATGCAACTGGACTCAAAATTAAGTTGGACAAGTCATATACACTCGCTAAGTATATTAAGCAACATTATGAAATCTGTATCACATTGGGGAATCAGGGAAAATTGGGGAGCAGATTTTCCAACTCTAGTAAATTTATATAGAGCTTTAATTAGATCCAAACTGGACTACGGATGTGTTGTGTATAACTCCGCAAACCAAGCATTGCTCAAAACTTTGGATACTCTTCAGAGTTCAGCCGTTAGACTTGCTCTTGGAGCATATTGCACCAGTTTTGTGGACAGTCTACTCTGTGAAGCTGGAGAGCCACCCTTAAACCTAAGAAGAAAATACTTAACTCTATCGTATGTCTCGAATATAAAATCTAACCCAAAAAATCCAGCTCTTCATCACGCTGTTCTAAAAGGTTCCAGGAAGTCTAATAAAAAAGAAATAGGGGTCCCGTACCTCTCTATGAACAAGCTAATAGATACTTAGATTTTAATATTGAACTACCTCCCATTTGTCCTACCTGTGAAATAAATTGATGTTTTCCTTGGAATGTTCCCTCTCCGCTTTGTAACCTTAAACTAACAGCAAGCATACCTATGACAAAAATAACGTGATACCCAATTTTTTTAAAACTCACGTTGTCCATGTGCTTATACAGTTCAAAAATTACCATTGTCTCCAGAAAAAAGTATTTTTACGCAGAACTATTTGCGTTAATTAGGGCCCTAACCTTAATTGTAGAAAAAACAAACTTCCCGAATCTCTTATAATATCTTATTCACTTTGTTGTCTGACATCAATTTCTCAGATTTATCCCTCTCATCCAACATTACAACAGATTAAAATATTTATACTTACATTTATTTGACGCTTACAGACACGACTATTAAAAAACTTGAAGCATTTGAGATGTGGCTTTATAGAAGAATGCTGAGAATATCATGGACAGCAAGGATCACGAACAAGGAAGTTCTAGGAAAAATGAAGAAGGAACCAGAGACTGTGTTTACGATCAAACGCATAAAATTGCAATATCTGGGACACGTTATGAGAAATCAGCACCGTTACTCCCTGCTACAGTCTATATTGCAAGGTAAAGTCAAAGGTAAGCGAGGACCCGGTAAAAGGAGAATATCATGGATGCGCAATTTAAGAACATGGTTTAAAAAAACCTCAACGGAGCTGTTTCGAGCCGCAGCGAGCAAGGTTATGATTGCCAATATGATTTCCCAACATCCGAAACGGATAGGAACCAGAAGAAGTTATTTTATACCGTATATACCAAAACAATTTGTCAGTAGGGTTCCTCTGGGTAGCGTCACATGTTGGAATAGATGAAAAAGAAAAGGCAGATAGTCTAGCTAGGTCCGCAATAACCAGGACAGCCGCATCAGTGGAAAATCTAACTGCCTTTAGATTTAAAACCTTACTTAAAAGCAAAATTGCACGATGTTTGGCAAATCCAATGGAATAGAAGCACCACTTAATTGATAGAAATAAAATCTTTCGTCCTTACATGGAACTTCTGGTCTTCAAAGCGACATCATCAAGACTTAATAACACGTCTCTGATTAGGAAACAGTTCTACAACACATGAATACTTGTTGAAGAGAGAAGAAGAACCATCGTGTTTTGTTTGTGAATGTAAAGTGATAGTGAAGCACATTTTGATTAATTGTCCAATATACTCAGTTTAAAGACTATATCACCACATTCTAAAAACATTAAACAAACTTCTAGGAGAATCTAAATACATAGCTGACTTGATAGAATTCTTAAAATCTATGAAGTTTTTAAATAAAATTTAACACAATACATCAATAATTAAAACATACATATGTGCCTATGTATGTCTTTATTACTTTTTGTATTTTTCTTATGCTAATAACCCTAAGTGGTTGAATCAAAATAAATTAAAAAAATAACTGTTTCTTTTAATTATCACAAACAGTAGTGTTAACATTTTGCTATAACTGAAAAACGTATTTGTTTTAAAACGTATTTTTGTAAATAATCTCATTAGGAATGTAAAAGGACCTTGCAAATTGATTGATGCATGTAAAAATGTATAGCACATGAGTAGTTTGAAATAGTAACAGTGTAAATCCATTGTTAATAATATATACCTAGGTACTATCTTTACTTGTCTTTTATAAAAATTATGTAGGAGCATTCGCAGCAAGAAACAGTCAAAAGTTTTTCACAACTCAAATAAGCCAATCGAGAAATAACACCACTATAGTTTTTTTTAAATATAATTGTTATTTTTTATAATATATTTTACAAAAATAAATGCAAATAATTAAGTGTTTAAGCATCTCTAATAAGAGTGACTTACAAAAATAAGCGACATGTTTTTAAAGTAAATACCTACATCTGTCATGAAGAATCCATACGATAACACTGGTGCAAAGATTTTGATGTCTATGAACAAAAATATTGCTCTAGAGTATTTTTTGGAGCTGAATCCAAGTTTGTTAAGATTTTTCCTATCACGTACAGTTTTTTTGGTGCACAGATTGCATAAATGGGCATTACATTTAGAAATGTTACCGACAGTTTTATCACCTGGTGATGTAATTATTATGGACAACATATTACCAGATTTGTAGAAAATGTGTACTTTTCATATTTTGGTATAAAACTTGGTGATCAAGACAAGGCACGGGTCCCTCATACTGTTTGTCGAACTTATGTCGAGACATTGCGACTATTATTAACAGATAAAAGAATGCTATGTCCTTTGGAATAGCGATGGTCTGGAGAGAACCATCAAATCATGTGGATGATTGCTACTTTTGTCTGACTAGTATTACTACTGGCTGCTAAGTTAAGAACAAGAAGTCTATTGTTTATCCTAACTTACCTTCTGCTATTAGACCAATAGCTTATAGCGATTATATACCTGCGTACTATTCTAAAAGATGTTAGTGATGACTGTGACTATAAAAGCAGTGACAATGAGAACATTAATCTGATGAGGCATGAACCTGATATAGATCGCTTACCTAAACTTTTTATTCAAGAAGAATTAAATGATTTAGTTAGAGATTTAAATCTCCCAAAGGATGCTGCAAAGTTCTTGAAACCAGATTGAAATTAAAAAATCTCCTTGCGACGAGAGTCCCTTTTTCTGGATATCGTTATCGTGAACGAAAATTGGCTCCTTACTTTAAGAAAGAGATGCAATGATTTTCTGTAATAACATTCAATCAGTGATTGAATATTTTGGAATTGATTATATACCTACTCAATCCTTTATAGATTCATCAAAAACTAGTTTTAAAGCTGTCCTTCTACTTAATATAAACAAATATGCTTCAATGTAATAGCTCAGTCAGTTCATTTAAAAGAAATATATAACAGATGAAAATTCTCTTGGGAAATCTTAAATACGAGAAAAACAACAGGTTAATTTTGTGAATGAGATAGCAGAAATAGATCCAGTCACTATACACTGAAATCTTGGAAAACAAGAACCCAGTTGTCACCAGACTCAAATAATGTCATAAACAGTCCACTATTAGGCCCCAAACATATTATGTTTTCACCTCTACATATTAATCTGGGTTTAACGAACCAATTTGTGAAAGCGTTGAATCAAGATAAACCATTTTTCGAGTATTTGGGTAAGAAGTTTTCTAAGATAACTTTTGTGAAAATAAAAGTTGGAATTTTTGTGGGTCTTCAAATTCGTTAACGAATGATCGACACTGGCTTTGAAAAATGCATGGATACTAAGGGAAAAAATCATGGAGGAGCTTCAAATTAGTTGTTAAGAGATTTCTGGGAAACTAAAAAATCCCAATTACAAAGAAGAAGTAAATGGCTTGTTAAGAAGTTTTCAAATCCTAGGTTGTCTTATTAGTGTAAAACTTCATTTTCTTCACTCACATCCGAACTATTTCCCCGATAATTTGGGAGATTACAGCGAAGAACAGAGAAGAGGTCCCATCAGGATTCCATAATGGAGCAACGTTATCAAGGTAGGTGGAATACTACTATTAAGGCTCACTACCTCTGGAACCCCAAGAGAGACTGTAATCCAGTGGAATCTACATCTAGAAGCTCAAGCAAGAGGAAGTTTCTTTTGACTTACTAGCAATTAAGGTATTAAGTTGTGTAATGGTTGTAGTGAAAGAAAAAAGAGCCAGTTTTTAACTTTTAACCAATTATTTTTTAATTCTTTCATCTTAATATTTTCATTTATTTATTAAGCACAGGCCCTATCGCAAACCTGTCTTTTCGTACAAAAGTTAGATGGCGATTTGTGAAAAATCTGTACGTGATATGTGATTGAGAATGAACGCGGCAAACGAGCTTTAGAACTCCTTTCACTTCTCAGTCATCTATATTTTTTTTAATTGTAGCACTGGGTAATGTTCATACTTTTTTGTACATAATTAGAATGCCTATGTCGTTTAATAATCTCGCTGATTGTAGCGGAAATATTAAAAGCTATGGCATGCTACTTAAAAGGGTTAGAAATTTCAAAAATTGTTACTGGAATATTTGTGATAATGATCGTGCCCATTTTTTTTTAATTGGACTGGAAACAATTTGATCACACTCAGCGACGATGCATCTCGATAGATGGACTCAATTCATAGTTGATTAGTGACATAAACATATTAAACATATAATAGGAATAGGTAGAGCTCCAAAACACATGACATTAAAAGAGACACAGCAAACTGGATTTACACTGCTCGAGATCCAACAATGGGTTCTTCAGGCTTTATGATTTTGTTGTCCACTTGTTTCTCCATATTAGGTATGTAAGAAAGTAGCTTAAATTTAATCTTTCTGTTATAATAAAAAAATACAACTATCTTATGATATACTTGCGTTAAAAACATGCCAAGATTTAAAATAATGCAAATTTGTATTGAAATATTTCCATCTGACTATAAAAATAGTAACTATCATCCCTTAAAGATCAGCTTAAACACTCTTTACCATCTTAACTTTTTCCCGAATACGATTCGAAAAATTTTAGTGATTAGAAAGACAGTGATATATTTTATTTATGTTGAAAACCGCTGACATATCCAGAAGAATCAACCATGTCTTTCCTTCCGGCAATGCCCTTGCCTTTGCCCGTGTCGTCGAATCTTTGCTTATGTGTGCCAGTGTATTTTGATGTGTCTGTTAGTCGATCAACTGCCGCTGCTGCTTTGGCAGTTGTAGATGACTGAAATAAAAAAGGAGACTGTTATTGGTAAAAATTACTTGTTGATTAGACCAGAGGAATTAGCAGAAAAACCTTTTCATGACACTCTTTGATACAGGTGTTTTTAATAAACTGATAAATTTAATGATAAAAATATGTAATGCACATGATTATGCAAAAAATTAAACGTCATTTTTAACGTCAAAACTAATCAAATAGCGATCTTCCATTGTTTATAAGCAAATCTTTTGCATTATTTTGTTTATAACATATTTTTATCACCAAATTCATGAAAAGCAGTTGTTAGATACCCGTATAAAAGATAAATGTTATAGTTTTATTAATAAAAGACATATTTACTTACAGCACCAGGAGTTGCTGGTGGTCCACAACTAACCAGCTTGTTTTTGATTTCATCCACCTCCACACTTTTAGCTTTAGCCAAATCTTCAAGAAATTGTTTGTACTGAACTATTCCAACTTTTTGCGATTTAAGTTTTTTAAAATGAATACCAGTATCCGTTGTCGTAATCTTCTTTCCATCGATTATCTTGGCTTGTTTCATCCATTTGTCGCTGTTCGATAAAGTTATCTGTTTGCCGTCCGATTTTGGGTCTCCGAATTTCGCAAAGTTCTTGAAGTTTGATTCGAATGTAAGTAGGGATGAATTACTTCCAGGCGTAGGGGATGCGGTCGGTGATTCTTTGTTTTCATCAATTTTTAATGCGTTTAGATCAGTAGTTGGTTTCTCGAGATCTTTGTCAGTCGACATCTGTAAAAAGTAAAGATAAATAAATAGTTTTTATTTAAAAATAGTCATTTAATGATAATATATAGTTAACCGTTTCTAGATACTGTAATGTAAACATAGCAAGAAAATAAAGAATAGAAAAAAAAGGGCTTGTAGCATAGGGAGAATAATAATCATTCAATTAATTATTATATATTCCATATTACATACAGTAACGTATACATTTTTAATTATAAAAATAATAACAATTGACCTAGTTTGACACAAGCCCGAATGTTTAAGAATTACGAAATCTGAAGACCTTCGTGAAAATTAATACAACGAAGCGATACACCATCGCATGTTACATTCCAACACGTGGAACAGTACAGCAGAATCAGCAAAATAAACTAGGAATGTTCGCGGGACATAAAAACTAAAAAAATTGGTCAACCAGTCAGTCAGTAATAGCTGGGCACCGTGACTGCCCGCTCAGGCAGTGATCGCCGGCTCCGGGTCGGACGCGATAGCGTCCAGTACGCGATCAGTAATAGCGAGGCAGTCGGTGTCTTCGGGCAGGGTTGTTAATACGAGAGTCGGCACCAGGTGCGGATTACGCGCGATTGTTATATTTCGACGGGGTATAGTTCCGTATAAGTGTCGGGTACTGAAAGAAATCCGATTTTCAGAGGAACTGAAGGGCGTATCATTAGCTAGAGCCTAAATACGCGAAGGTAACCAAATTCTATATACTAACCCGAGTAAATTATAGTATTACAGATTGTCACCCCTTTACTTTCTTGCTAAGATCTCTTCTCGTCTCCCTTCGCGCCGAACGAGTTATTATTAATTATATCTGACAGCTTGTTAACTTAATTGTAAACCACATAGTACCTATATTCAATACATTTGTAGACTATATTACATATTACAGTGGTAACAGCGTTGTACAGTGGTGAAGATTTTCTCACCCTCTAGTTCCAGATGTTACAATAGGGGATATAACCTCCATAGAGTTGTACAATACTGACCAGAGCAGAAGGCAATTACATTATTTTAGCTAGCTACCAAAAACCGTCTCCATCGGGAATAATCCTCGATTATACATTGTCACTTAAAAATTGAGAAATTCAACAGAGCAATGGTTATCATGATTTGTTTGCCAATAACAGTTAAGGTCGCGGCGTATTATCATACACGTATATATTATCATACAGTCCAGCAATCGGACTACACGTTCACATTTTCATACATAGGACGTTTCAGTTTGGTACGGTGAAGATGTGATCTCGCTTTTAGCGACAAAAATTGTAGTAAAAGGAAGGTTTGGAGTACATCCAATGCTAAGAGAAATGAAAAAGGAAGGTGAATACTGGATTATACAAAGAATTAATTGATGACGATGAAACATATGGATATTTTAGAATGAATAAGATTCAGTTTGAATATATTTTTTTCATTTAATTACACCTTACACTTAAAAAACAAAATATTACATTTAACTAAGCCATACATATCAAACCAAAGAATATTTTCTAAAAAGAGGAGGTATCACTTCCGTGATTAATTGTCACAAAGCAATGAAAACACATGCATAAATGACAAAATAGCCTCGAAAATAATTTTTTTTAAATATTCTGTATCAAAATCAAACAAATACTAAATAAACAATAAGGAGAAAACGACGGACCCCTAATTCACATTATCCATATCAAGAGGTTTCGTTCCCGTATCCGTAAAATATTGTTTTCGAATATACTGAACGGAAACGTAAGGTGTCTGATACGATACGTTCCGGACAATGTGAGTTGTTCATTTTTAAAACCATTTAAATTATATTTTTCGAGTAACTAAACGCTATGGGCTGAAAACGCAACGTGCATGATAATATGCCACGACCTTTACCCAAAAAGTATTGTTCAATATGTGATTTTCAATAGAACAAATTCTTCACAGCAAAATAAATACAACAAGCAACCATTCATTGAAAGCTTAAGCAACTCAGTAGTATCTTAATTTAAACCATTTTTAGAATAAACATGATAGCAATCGTAGTTTATATTGGACAAATGGGCTAATTGCTTGAACAAAGAATTATATAACATAAAAGTGAATGTGAAAGTCGACATATTGAACCAAGTTCATACGTTATGGAGCCAGGAAATACTCTCGTATTAAACACTTTTTCTTCAATATCCAATTGAAGTAAACCATACCTATTATTATTTCGCATATGACCAAAATACTCCCCAATTTTCGTTGTTTATTATGATGAGCACTTCACATCAGATCCAGAGTACCCGACTGTAGCACCACATCTCGAAATTTGTTAGAGGTAAATCTCGACTTTTAAAAATTTAACTGTTTTAATAAATGCTGACCTGGCCATTGACATTGCTATGGCCAGGTCAGCATTTTAATCTCTACAGAATTGTGCCATCGCCTATTGACATTGGTACCCAGATATGTATAGCTCTCGATGTATTCAATTTGTTGATTTTTTACCAACAGTATTTAATTATTGGGGTTTTATTAATAATCATACATTTGATCATTTTTATAAATTCCTGGACTAAATTAACGCACCACATTAATTAATCTAAATATTTACAATATGAACACAAAATAAAACTATGGTCAAATCCCACAATTTGAGAGAGTGATTTCATAGTTTAAAAGCGGAATATCCTCAAATTTAAATGTACACAGCGGCCCTCGAAAACTACCCGTTTTCTCAATTGCAATTTGCGTTTTCTCATAAGAAATTACAGAATATATAAGTAGTATATTTATTTGTGCTTCTCTATAGAAGAGTTGACCAGGAGTTGTCGTACAGTGTAGCCAATTCGTGTTCACAAGTAGTAATTATGGTCATACAAAACCTGTATTCTTCCACGCAGCGATTATCACCGTCATAAAAATACCAAAAAACATGATTTTTTCAATAGTAAAAATTAATCACAAAATTGTAATAAAATAAATTTTATTTATATGTTCCGTTTTGTTACATATTTAAATTTATAAAATAAAAATCGATATTTTAAAACATTACTTTTCAATCTCTTGGCAACCTTGAGCTAAGCGACGGAGTTCCGACTCACAGACAGAGCTGTAAAACTTGTTTGACGGTAATGCTGATGAAGAAATCAAGTCATATATTGTTCAATTACATTGGCGTTTCGGAAGGTATGTATGTGTTCCATTTTGTGAATATATTTGTTATAAATTTGTGTTATTGATAATACGAGTGTTATAGTTTGTCGTTTTATAGTAAATTTTTAGTTAAATTCTGTGATTATTTGGTTGGAGTTTCTGTTTATATTGAAGTTTTATATATAATATGTAGTTTTATTTGTTTATATTTTATGTATATATAGTTTTACATAGTTATATTCTGTGATTATTTGATTTGAGTTTTATTGGAGTTTTGGTTTATACAATGGACGAAAAACCGAGCTGTTCCAAGAGAAGAAAACAAAATTCTGATGTTGATTCCAAAAATGAAAAGTCGCAAAAGAGACGGAAAATGTTAACGTCCGAAGAGAAGGTAATGATACGAAACGTTTATGAAGGAATTGTCGGCAGAAAAATGGCATTAAATATTAGCCAAGCGGTCGACATTTGTAGCAGCTTAACAAAAGTATCCGTTAGCTGTATTTATCGTGTAATTACAAATACATCGGAAAATCAAAAGCAAGAAAAAGGTAAAACTAGAGGTAGGAAAAGCATTGTTTTAGATGACGAGACAAGAAATATTATACGTAGAAAAATTCATTCATTTTATTTTCGGAGTGAAATTCCAACACTGAAAAAAATTTCTCAAGAGCTCCAAAACGATGACGCCTTACCCAAGATATCTCGTAGAGTCTTAATCAGGACCATGCGCGAAATGAACTTTCGATATGTGAAACGCAATAGAAAAAGTATGCTATTAGAAAAAAATGAAATTATTGTGTGGAGAAGAAAATATTTAGAAGAAATACGCAAAATTCGCAGCACTGGGCGCAAAATATATTATTTGGATGAAACCTGGATTAACGAAGGTCATACAGTTGGAAAAGTTTGGCAAGATTTAAATGTTAAAAGTAAACGCGAAGCATTTATAGAAGGCTGGTCTACAGGATTAAAAGCTCCATCAGGAAAGGGACGGCGTTTAATCATCACCCATATAGGAAGTGATACAGGGTTCCTTGATGATGGTTTGCTTCAATTTGAGTCGAAAAAAAACAGGTGATTATCATGAAGAAATGACTTCCGAAGTATTTGAGCGCTGGTTTAAGAGAATTTTACCAAAATTGGAACCTGGGTCTGTGGTTGTAATGGATAATGCGCCATACCATAGCCGCAGACTAGAACAATTACGACGACGGCATGGCGGAAAGGGAGAATTCAAGAATGGCTTATAGAAAAGGGGATTGCATACGAAGAATCAATGCTCAAAATTCAGCTACTTGACATTGCACGGTTAAGGAAAAGTGAATATCTTAAATATGCTGTGGATGAAACTGCAAAAGATTATGGTGTCAAAGTTCTGCGTCTACCACCTTATCATTGCGAACTTAATCCCATTGAACTTATCTGGGCGCAAGTGAAAGGAGAAGTAGCACGCAATAACAAAACGTTTAAATTAAACGAAGTTAAGGAACTTTTAATTCAAGCAATCCTCCATGTAACTCCAGAGAAATGGGCTAAATGTATAGGCCACATAATTAAAGAAGAACGTCGTATGTGGGAACTTGACACTCATATCGAAGTTTTACTAGAGCATTATCAACCAGGTGAAGATAATGACAGCGATAGCAGCACTGCATCTTCAGATTTAGACAGCGAATAATATTTTCTAATAGTTTAGTAAGATCTTCAGAATAATAAAAAAAATGAGAAGAACATAGCAAGTGTGTATAGTGTTTGTGTTTAAATAGAATAGTACAATGTTTCGTTACATCAAAAATTATTTTTATTTTGTTTTTATAGAATTTTATTTTGTTTTATAGAATTTTATTTTGTTTTGTTTTATACTGTTTTTAAAGTGTTTTGCTCAT